GAACACGGGGCGCGGTGGGGGGAGAGAGGTGCGACTAAAAAACGACACGTGCCAACCCCCAGCTTCGCAAGCTACATGGGGTTTCCGCCAAAATTTTCCCCATCAGTTGGTACGTTCACTTTGGAGTTACTCCCTCGGGGGTGGGGGGGAATGGGCCACCAGCCCCGTCCATGGTGGCCACCAGCCCGGAGTGCCCCGGAGACTTGGCGTTTGCCCCGCAATGTCGTGGTCTGAGCGGAGCCTCCGGCGGCGCCGCGTCTCTCCCCACGCGGCCCTTTGCCTCATCAACATCCACGGCCTCTTCTGTCGGCAAAGCCCACGGGGAAAGGTGACTCGGAAAGAAAATGGGAGAGGAATAAAAAGGGCAAATTTTAGGTTATCGGTCCGCATGGTGCAAGCGCGCCATTTTTAGCCAAAGAGCCCGGAGGCATCGCGCTGGTGTCCTGGGATGCTCAGCTTCATACATCGCGTTATCTCCGTGGCTCCCGTGGGCTTCTCGTCCTGCTCCGGCACAAAACACAGCGGCCACAATGGTGTGGATGCATTTGACAGCTGCAAATAAAAGTAAGCCAGCACCAAAACCACTTTTGAAATGTAAGAAACATAACACACTGAAAAAGTTACCTTTATTGCCTAAAAGTCTCTCAAGTTTTCCATTTTTACATTTAACGGAGATATTTACCCATTTTTTTGAATGCCTTCAGTCTCCTCCTGATAAGCAAACCCGTTTAATTGCCTTGCAGCAGAGTGGCCGGCAACGAGCAGGGTGGGTTTGCCAGCCCACACCGCTTGGATTCATTTGCGTGAGTCTCTCCGTCGTGGCACAGACCTCTCCATCGCCGCAGCGCGACTGCGTTGGAATAATTACTTTAACGTTAAAGCAGGAGGCTGCAGGAGGGCTGGTTTGGGGGGAACCTTCCCCAGGTGAGACCCAAGGGCGACACGCTTGACCCGTGGCCCCCACGCTCCCGTCCCTCCTATGCAGCCCGCAGCATCACTTCCCAGTGGTTGCTATGGCAAACATGGGACGCTGCCATCGCAGTGCACTTTGGGACCAGTTTTTGCCCAGAAACACCAGGATCAAATTGTTTTTTTGTCATACGGGCTAACCATGAAGAATTTTCCTTAAAAGAAGATTAAAAAACATCCTCTCCCTCCGCAGGCAAGCAGTGGCAGCAGGGGACTGGCACAGTCGCTCCTCTCGTAGCTGCCCGGGATGCTCCTGGCCCCGACCCTGCGATGATGCTGAGGACGGCACCCTCCTATACCGCTGCTGCCTCTGTTCTCATGCAACTAATTAATTTAGGCAGCCCCATGCTTCATTGAGCATTAATTACACCTAATTGTGCCAGGCTGCTGGACAGCAGATAAGCAGCGTTACATGAAATATGTGAATTTGGGGTTGGGTTGTGTCGCTAGGGACGGCCGGGGTGCACCGCGCACCGGGGTTTAGCTTGTGGTCCCATCCTGCGACAGGTTCCAAACCACCACCGCGGAGGAGCCATCAGGAGGGTTTGTGTCACCACAGCATACGTGGAACATGGCACACTGAGGAGGCACCAATTCCCCTCCACCCCATCACCCGTACCACGCCGGCCAAACCCCGCTCAAAAAAACACGCGCAGCGGTTAATTTAGCAACACTCCATTTTTCTCCCTCCATGGAAGAGAAGAAAGAAAGAAAGAAAAAAAAGAAAAAAAAAAGCACAGACAGCAGGCAGGCAAGAGATTACAGAACCAGGTTATAAAATAAAGCAATATTATACTTTATTCCGGTGTCCCCCCTCCATCCCCACACCCTTGTGCAAACGCAGTTGCTGCCGCGTGGAGCAAGCGTGTCCAGCCAAGGGCTGCCCAGAAGGACGATGGGCGAAGAATGATGATTTTCCTGGAAATAACCATTTATGCCATGATGGGATGTGCAGGGAAGGTGCTGCGGTGCCGCCTGCCCGCGTTATCACCGCTGGATCCGAGCAGGGCTGAGGGCAGGAGGGGTTTGGCTAACGCAAGCCCACCACGGCTCCTATTAAGGCTTAACCGGTGAGGTTCAATGCTACTATTTTTCTGCAGGTAGGCAACACAGCTCGATGCTGATTAAAAACTCCATACGCGCCATTACTCCACAAACAACGCCACGACGGAGAAATAACTCGACAGTGAGGCAGCCGGAGGGGGGAAAAAACACTTCCAAAGGTCCAAGTAGCCGTAACAGCGTTTATTGCCACGTCGCCACGGAATAAAACCCTCTCCCCTACCTCTGTCACTGTATTGTGAATGGTTAAAAAAAAATAAAAAAAAAAAAAATAAAATC